GAATTAAAGTAATGTTTACTTGCTTTAAAAATCACATTTGATGATAAAAATCATATCTGTGATTTTTTTAATTTAAAAATTCCCTTCAGGCGTTGACTTTTTTTTCCCCCAACAGACATAATTTGGGTGTTGTTGTTGTTGTGTGCTGTCGAGTCAATTCCAACTTATAGCAACCGGATGTGACAGAATAGAACAGCCCCACAGGGTTTTCTTGGCTGTAATCTTTACAGGAGCAGATCACCAGGTCTTTCTCCCACGTTAGCAGCTGAGTGCTTAACCATTGCGCCACCAGGGCTCCTCTAATTTGGGTAGTGTGACAGTTATAGACATCAGTGCTTGAAGGGCAGGTGAGGATGGGGGATGGTTTGGTAGCAGACACGGTCTTTGTAGGACAGTGCCAACAAAAAGAGATGCTGAGAGGATTTCATTCCCTCCAGAATGTAAGAGGGGAGGCATGCCATCATGCTATCTACCCCCAGTGCAAATCCTCCAGGCAACCAAATAAATATTTTTAGTAAAGTGATCTGCATATGAGTCCTCCCTCCTTGGTACTTAATACACCATGGTACTGTTGAATTCTAAGCATAAAAAATTGAAGATTATTACTGAGTATGAGTATCATTGATCACTTGAGGTACTGCAGTGAACTGAAAGCTGTCATGATGGACAAATTCAAGTTCGGGGGGTCAGTACCCTGGATAAGGACTTGGAGTCAGATAATAAACAGAAGGATTTCTATTAGAAGACATTTGTGCCTGGACTTTATTTTAATAACAGCTTTATTTAGCTATCATCCACATACCATAAAAGTCACTCTTTAGAAGTGGACAATTCAGTTGCTTTTAGTATATTCAGAGTTGTGCAACCATCACCACAATCTAATTTTAGAACACCGTCATCACCCCCAAAAGAAACCCTGTATGTGTTAGTAGTCACTCCCCAGTCCACACACCACCCCCCGCCTTCAGCCCCTGGCAATCATTATCTACTTTCTGCTTGTATGGATTTTGCTTATTCTGGAAATTTCGTATAAATGGAATCATACAGTATGTGGTCTTTTGTGACTGGCTTCTTTCACTTGGCACAATGTTTTCAAGTTCATTCATATTGTAGCATGTATCAGTACTTCGTTCTTTTTATGGTTGAATAATATTCCATTGTATGGATATGCCACATTTGTTTATCCATTCATCCATTGATGGACATTTGAGTTGTATCCACCATTTGGCTATTGTGAATAGTGCTGCTGTGAACATTTGTGTACAAGTTATAGTCTGAACACGTGTTTTGAATTCTTTGGGTATATAGCTAGGAGTGGAATTGCTGGGTCATTTGGTATTTCTATGTTCAACTTTTATAGCAACTGTCAAACTGTTTTTCCATGGCAGCTGAACCATTTTACATTCCACCAACAATGTATGAGTGTCCCAATTTCTATATACCCTCACCAACACTTGTTATTTTTTATAATAGCCATCCTAGTGGGTGTGAGTAGCCTTGGTGGCGCAGTGGTTAAGAGTTCGGCTGCTAAACATAATATACGCAGTTCGAATCCACAAGCTGATCCTTGGAAACCCCGTAGGGCAGTTCTACTCTGTCCTATAGGGTCGCTATGAATTGAAATTAACTGCATGGCAACGGGTTTCAATGGGTAGTCGGTGTGAAGTGGTTTCTCATTGTGGTTTTGATCTGCATTTCCCTAATGACTAATGATGTTGAGCATCTTTTCGTGTGTTTGTTGGTCAGTTGTGTATCTTCCTTGGAGAAATATCTATTCAGATCCTTTGCTTATCTTTTAATTGGGTTGTTTATCTTTTTGTTGTTGAGTTGTAAGGGTTCTTATTATTTCCTTCCCTCTGTTTCCTTCGGGATTAGTCTGCTCTTTTTCTAGTTTTTTAAGGTGGAAGGGTAGGCTATTGATTTGAGATCTTCCTTCTTTTTTGAATATATAGACATTTACCGCTGTAAATTTTTCTCTATGCACTGCTTTAGCTGCATCTCTTAGGGTTTTTTTTGTTGTGTTTCAGGTGCAAGTTTACAGCACAAGTTAATTTCTCATTCAAAAATTTATGCACATGATGTTTTGTGACATTGGTTGCAGTCCCCACAATGTGACAGCACACTCCTCCTTTCCACCCCAGGTTCCCTGTGTTCGTTTTTCCAGTTCCTGTCCTTTCCTGCCTTCTCGTCTTGCTTTTGGACAGGAGCTGCCCATTTGGTCTCATATATTTGATTGAACTAAGAAGCACGTTCCTCACATGTATTAATTTTTTGTTTTATAGGCCTATCTAATCTTTGTCTGAAAAGTGGGCTTCAGGAGCGGTTTCAGTTCTGGGTTAGCAGAGCGTCTGGGGGCCATAGTTTCGGGGGTTTCTCCAGACTCTATCAGACCATTAAGTCTGGTCTTTTTGCGTGAATTTGAATTTTGTTATACATTTTTCTCCTGCTCTGTCCGAGACTCTCTGTTGTGTTCCCTATCTGGGCGGTCATTGGTGTAGCTGGGCACCATCTGGTTCTTCTGGTCTCAGGCTGGTGGAGTCTCTGGTTTATGTGGCCCTTTCTGTCTCATGGGCTAATATGTTCCTTATGTCTTTGGTGTTCTTCATTCTCCTTTGCTCCGGGTGGGTTTGGACCAATTGATGCATCTTAGATGGCTGCTTGCTAGCTTTTAAGACTCCAGACGCCACTCACCAAAGTGGGATGCAGAACATTTTCTTAATAAAGTTTGTTATGCCAATTGACCTAGATGTCCCCTGAAACCATGGTTCCCAGACCCCCTGCCCCTGGTACTCTGTCCCTGTAAGTGTTTGGTTGTATTTAGGAAACTTCTTAGCTTTGGTTTAGTCCAGTTGTGCTGACTTTCCTTGATCTCATAAGTTTGTGTATGTTATGTTTTCATTTTCACTTGTCTCAAAATATTTTCTAATTTCTTTTTTTGTGCTTGGACTTTCAATAGGTAGGTAACATTTCTATTCTTCCAGGACCCTAGATTTACATTTTTCGGAGAGTAGTTCCTGAGGAATAAAGGAACTGAAAGTAGACACAAATAGCTGGGGAGGAGGGGGCTACAACTTAACTCCTAGCTTTTGAAGCCACCCTGTGACCTGTGTCCTTCTAAATCTGTGGTTCTCAACTGGGGATGATTTTGCCCTTCAGGTGACATTTGGCAATGTCTGGAAACATTTTCGGTTGTCATAATTGGGGTGGGGTGCTACTGTCATCTAGTGAGTAGAGACCAGGGATGATGCTAAACATCCTACAGTGTCCAAGACAGCCCCCAACAACAAAGAATGATTCGGTCTGAAATGTCAATAGTACGGCCTTTGAGAAACCCTTTTTAACCTTTTACACTGGTGGGACTGTTTTCTGCTTACCCAGCACCTACCTGTACAGTGCCTCACTCCTTCATAATGGCCCCTGAGGTAGGTGGTAAGGTCACAATCTGAGGTGTGGTGAATGAAGCTTGAAAAGTGAAGCCACTTGTCAGTCAGTAGCAGAACCAGGACCACCAACTTCCAGGCCTGCTGTTTCCCAGAAAGCCCACAGCTACCTGGGCCTTCCACTTACTCTGGCCACTCCACCTTTCCAAAGCAGACCATCATGCATTGTCTTGTGAGTATATGGTTGACATCTTGGCAGGCATTCACGAGCTATTTGCTAAATGGGCAAGTGGGCTTCTCCTAGCTAAGAATGCTTCACGCTGCCTTCTAATCCCTGTTTAATGTCTCCCTCTTCAATTAGAGTGGAAGCTCCTTATGAGCAGCACAGCATTTTGTACAGAATAGGTGCCTAGTAGATTTTTGTTGAATGAATGGGAAAAAATGAAAAGAAATACACCAGTATACTAACTTGGTCATCTCTAGGAGCTTGGAATGAAGGTTGTACCTGCTTCCAGAAGAAGCTGGGAAATGGGGCAAGACTCCAGGACTGGTGGGGGAAGAGAAACTGTGGATCCATATGTTGGTTCTTTTGCCTATGGGATTTTAATTCTGGTATCATTAATCATCCTGATAAATACACCCACTCCTCACTTATTGACATGGTTAGGTTCCAAAGACCAGGTTGTTGTGTGAAAATTGACGTTATGTGAAAATGGAGGATGACCGCATCAGATTTCAATATGGAGGATGACTACATCAGTACATAATTACCAAATTACATCATTACATAGCTACCAGCTTACATCATTACATAACTGCCAAACCACTGAGAATCATGGCCCAGCCAAAATGACACATAACCATCACAGCCAGCGTTACTCTCTCCTCGCACCTCAGCATTCATTATTGCCAGATGTATGTCATTAATGCACAAAATAGTTGGATAGTAGATTTTTTACTATTGTCGCAAATGTGAAATGTTGGATAACAAGATAGTCGATAAGTGAGGGGTAGGTGTATTATTTCTCTCATTAAATTCATCACATTTCAGCCTCCTTTTCTCTTTGAATTATTCACACTAGCACCTTTTACCCTTATTAAAAGATCAGTTTCAACCCTGCTTAAAAATTCAGAGTCCTCAGATTTTGTTCCCTAAAGGTCTCATCACAAACGTAACTTAAACAAAAATCTTTTGTAATGTTTGACATCACAGTTCTCCTTAAAGTATCCTGTTACTATGTCTTTGAGTAGTTAGTTGGCCTTAATTTTCTCATCCATAAAATGGGACTAACGAAGCTTTGTTAGCTAACTGAGACCTTTTCGGAGGATAAAATGATTTAACGTTCATGAAAGCACTTTGAATAATACTATGTAAGTGGCAAGGGACCTCCAGTTAGTGAATAACTCTGAAAAATTATGTTTGTATGATTTATTGAATAACAACAAGTTCCGTGTAGTTATTGAAATAGTTTGCTAGATTGAAACGAAGTGCATTCAGATTTTGTGCTCCTCACTTTCTAATAATTTGGTTAAAACACACACACACTTTAGAAACTAAAGCTATCTTGTCTCTTGCACTCTCCTGACAATCACAATAACTTGACCTTTGTTTCTCCATAGGTGTTACAGAACATCTTGGACACTGAAAAAGAGTATGCTAAAGAACTTCAGTCTCTTCTTGTTACTTACTTAAGACCCCTGCAGTCCAACAACAAGTAAGATTTATATTTAAAACCCCTTGCTAAAAAAAAGCAAGATGGTGCCAGCATATGGTGTCATCACTCTTACATCACTGAATAATTGATTTTGCCCTTTAGAAGAATTTCCACAGATCATAGGTTGCCAAGAACATGGCCAGGACCACAGAAATTCTGCAAGATGCCCCTTTGGGAGAGCTCGACTCTCTCTCTCTCTCTCACTTTGGGCTGTGGGAGGGATGGGCAGATCTGCATTTCTGCCTGTTACAATTTTTATCTGATTCAATTTTAAAGTGATGTATCTGGTTTTACCTTACCAGAAAAAGGACTCCCTGGTGCTTTTATTCCTAAAGTACATAATCTGGGAGTTGTTGTGCTGACTTTGACCTATGCTCACCAGAGCAGAACCTCTTTCCTATGCTCTGAGGGTGGAAAGAGTAGCATTTTGCGCTTGTTCAGAAGAGCAACTGAAGCCAGCACGTCACTCAGACAAAAGTGAAGGATAAAATGATGGTAAAGTGTTTTTTTTTTAAACAAAAATTATTCAAACTTATCCTAATCTTTGAAATCTGAAGTGCTTGCTTAAGGCCTGAACTGAAAACTTAGTTTTCACAAAAGAAAAATATTGACCATTCATTTTGTGCATGTACGTGCTTGTAAGTACAGCATACTTAACAAATAGTTGCTAACTGCATTAAAAATTTTTTAATGGATTACACTTCACTAGAGATTTGACTTGAGTCAGATAGAAAGTTTAGCAGTTGGTCCGTATAATGGAGGACAAAAGCCTCCCCCTTTTACCTTAGTAAGAGTTTACTTTTACGGGACAGTTGCCTAAACCATCTACTTCAAGCTTAAATAAGTTTAATATATTTTACTGTTTTTCTCCCTTTATCCAAATCATGTATGCTTAGGCATAATGCCTTGCTAAATTCCCCACTTTGTTATTTTCATGGTACTATAAAACCAAAACCAAACCCACTGCCATCGAGTTGATTCCGACTCATAGCGACCCTATAGGACATTGTAGAATTGCCCCATAGGATTTCCAAGGAGTGGCTGGTAGATTTGAACTGCTGACCTTTTGATTAGCAGCTGAACTCTTAGCCACTGCTCCAACCAGGGCTCCTTCGTGGTACTATGGGAATCTTAAAACAGTTACCGTTGAGTCGATTCCAACTCACGGCAGTCCCATGTGTGTGAGAGTAGAACTGTGCCCCATAGAGCTTCACTGGCTGAGTTTTCAGGAGTAGATTGCCAGGCCTTTCTTCTGAGGACTCAAATCTCCAACATTTTCAGTTAGCAGCTTAGTGCGTTAACCCTTTGCACCGTTGAAAACCCTGTGGCATTCTACTCTGACACCCACGGGATTGCTATGAGTCGGAATCGACTCCACAGCAACTAGAAATTGGAATGGGAATCTGGGGGCAGAGGTGGTTCTGTGGTGGAATTCTCACCTTCCATATGGGAGACCTAGGTTTGATCCTGGCCAATTCACCTCATGTACAGCCACCACCTTTCTGTCAGAGGAGGTTTGCATGTTGCTATGATGCTGAACAGGTTTCAGTGGAGCTTCCAGACTAAGATGGACTAGGAAGAAAGGCCTGGTAATCTACTTCTGAAAATCAGCCAATAAAAGCCCTGTGGATCACAGTGGCCCTATCCACAACAGATCATGGGCATGGGGAGGGTGCGGGACCAGGCAGCATTTTGTTCCATTGTGCATGGGGTCACCATGAGTCAGGGGTGACTTGAGGGGAGCTAACAACTAAACAACATAGGAATCTTCAGTACAAAAGAATATTGTATTTCTGTGTTGGAAGAGTTTAAACATAGTCAACGAGAAAGTGTTTTTTTTTTTTTTTTTTTTTTTTTGTTATTATTCTCTGAGATGCAAAGTATTTTTTGAATCATAGTTCCTAGAGCTGGACGGGACTTCAATAACCCCCTGAGTGTAGTGCTTGGAAGAAATGAGTATTTCCCCACTGAACAGATAAGAAAACAGAAGTCCAGGGAGGTTTAGCGCTTTGCCCATCACACAGCCAGCCAGTGGCCAGACTGGGTTCACTGTGTCTCCTGCCACCAAATGAAATGTGCCTTCTTTTTTTTCTGGAGGTGACAGGCAGAGGAGGAGGAGAGGGACACTGGAAGGGGAGGTGGTGAGATTTCCAGTGGAGGAGTGGCTTATGAGCAATCTAGAAGCAATAAGGGGAAAGGAAAGACAAAGCCCTAGGTAGAGGAGCTAAGAGTCCTGAGTCAGACCTACACTCTTCCGAAATCCATTCCGAATGCTGTGTCAGGATGTTTCTGTCAGTTGGGACTGTCTTGCAGGCCCCAAAGTGATTCAAGCCAACTAGACTGTTTCTTGTCCGATCCCAAAGGAACCAAGCAAGCCAGGTTCTTTTTTTTTTTAAATTGTGCTTTAGGTGAAAGTTTACAGAGCAAATTAGTTTCTCATTCAACAGTTATTACACAAATTGTTTTGTGACATTGGTTGCCAACCCTGCAATGTGTCAACATTTCCCCTTCACCACCCCAGGTTCCCTGTTTCCATTTGTCCAGTTTTCCTGTCCCTTCCTGCCTTCTTGTCTTTGCTTTCGGGCTGGTGTGCCCATTAGTCCTGTATACAGGACTGAACTATGAAGCCTGTTCCTCACATGTGTTATTGTTGGCCTTATAGACCTGTCTAATCTTTGGCTGAAGGGTGAACCTCAGGCATGACTTCAGTACTGAGTTAAAAGAGTGTCCAGGGGCCATACTCTGGGGTTTTTTCCAGTCTCCTGCGTCAGACCAGTAAGCCTGGTATTTTTTGTGTGTGAATTTGAATTTTGTTCTACATTTTTCTCCTGCTCTGTCCAGGACCCTCTATTGTGATCCCTGCCTGAGCAGTCGGTGGTGGTAACTGGGCACGATCTAGTTGGTCTGGGCTCAGTCTGGTGGAGGTGGTGGTAGTTGTGGTCCATTAGTCCTTTGGACTAATCTTTCCCTTGTGTCTTTGATCTTCTTCATTCTCCCTTGCTCCTGAAGGGTGAGACCAGTGGAGTATCTTAGATGGCTGCTCACAGGCTTTTAAGAGCCCAGACGCTACTCACCAAGGTAGAATGTAGAACATTTTCTTTATAAACTGTGTTATGCCAATTGAGCTAGATGTCCCCCGAGACCATGGTCGCCAGCCCTCAGCCCAGTAGCTTGATCCCTCAGGGAGTTTGGTTGTGTCTGTGAAGCTTCTATGACTTTGCCGTGGTCAAGTTGTGCTGACTTCCCCAGTATTGTGTACTGTCTTACCCTTCACCAAAGTTACCACTTATCTGCTGTCTAGTTAGTGTTTTTCCCTTCCCACCCATCCCCTCCTTCGTAACCATCAAAGATTGTTTCTTTCTGTGTGTAAACGTTTTCATGTGTTTTTATAATAGTGGTCTCATACAGTATTTGTCTTTTTGCGATTGACTTATTTCACTCAGCATAATGCCCTCCAGAGTCATCTATGTTATGAGATGTTTCACAGATTCATCATTGTTCTTTATCGTTGCCGTAGTACTCCATTGTGTGGATATACCATAATTTGTTTAGTGTGTGCTGTCCTTCCCTTCACCTAAGATAATTCTCATCTACTGTCTAGTTAGTAAATAACCCTCACCCTCCCTCCCC